TCCCTGGGTCGTCTGGATCCCCCAAGACAAGCATACCTATTTTCCTTCACTTGCTGTGCTTCCAACATGGGGGTGAGGGTATTTTGTTTTATTGACTACCAAGGACAGGCTGGCTAAATGTGCCATGTCGGAAAAACGCAGAATGCGCATACTGTATCACGCAGTGCGCTATTATCCAAGGGTATATGTGGGGAGGCGGCTGGGCGAACTGCTAGCTTGAGCGGAACGCCCAGCTGCTGATGTAGCAAAAAGGGAGGCGATTGGAAGACGACAGAATCAGGCTGGCCGGAGAATATCACGCTGAATGTTCATGACATTATCCACTTTTTGACTTGCGCCGTGCCAAATGCACGGGCCCACTTCACCGAGTCGATATCGTTGGGCCTGCTACTGGCCAGGTCCTGGGCGTGCGTCGCCCCCTCGATGACAATGATCGGCGAGCTTGTTGTGTTGGGAAGCACATAGCTGTACTCAGCGCCAGCCGTTGTCTCGCGCCAGACGTCATATGAGCCGACAGTATACAGGATGTTCTTGACGCCCTTGAGAATGTTGAACCACCTCTTGTTATATCCCTTCACGTCAACTGGGATTTTGACCTGACTGCCAAATTTGGCCTGGCAGGGCGGCTGGAAATAGTCGAGATCCGTAAGTCGCGAGCGGTACGGGGTCAGGTGCGTGCTGCGAGGGGGAGCGACTTGCCAGTTGCCGAACCATGTGCACGACTGCCAGAACCACACCCGTGAATTCTGACCCAGAGAATAGTTGTCCACGTTGAAGCTTGTGTTCGCTATCGCGTTGAGGTCACTGAACGTGAAGCCAAGAAATTTGACCCAGTCCTGGAACGCACGTGCATAAGCATCGATATCGGAGCGCGTGCCATCGAAGTGGTCGCAGACCAGCGACTTGTACTGGTTGAAGCCCTCGAAAACAGGGTTCATCCCGATGATCGTGGTGAGGCCGCCTACAAGGCCGCCAAAGTCACGGGGAGTCAGGTGGGGACAGCCGAATTTATCTTCAATCAGTCTGACTGCCGTGTCATTGCCCGAGTACAGGATCTTGTCGACCTCCTTGACTGCCTCCGCAAACCTGGGTCCGCAGCCAATGTCATTCAAGCGCTTGCCGGCCATCTGGTCGTAGCTGTAGAGCTCGTACTGCGCCTTGATCAGCGCCGACGATGCCCAGGCGCCTTTGACCAGCTGCGGGTACTTTGCACGCATCCACGCAGCGATCGCCCCAGAGTACGAGCCTCCGGCTGTGATAATCGTCGAGTTTGCGCTCACCGGCACCGGGAAGATCCGGCTGGGGTCGGTCTTGACCAGACGCAGGATCGATGCAAAATCCTCGAGAGCGTTCTCGGGTGTCATATACTTGAGGCTGGCGCCTGAAAGGTCAGGCATCGGGTACGAGGACCCGTAGTACCGGTGTTCAATTGCCAGAACAACCCCATTAGTCTCACGTGCCAGGTCGTTGACAAACGTGCGATCGGTGTAGTATGTTGCCAGTGTGGATTCGCCCGGAGTGATCATATATACAGGGCCGCCTGGCCTGTAGAATGTTGCATTGATAAGGTACTGCTGCTGCCACTGGCTGTTGTTGGCACCAAAGTGGTCAACAGGCTGAGTGAACTTGTAAACTGTTGATGATGAGGGTATATTCAAAGTGCTCTGACATTGCCCAGACACAGCCAGGCCGACAAGGATAGAGAGAGAGAGGCGCATTAGTGTGGGAGGTGCAGAGCAAAAAGGGAAGGCACTCTGGGTATTTAGCAAGGAGAGGCGTATAGATAGAAGCAATACAGTGATAAAGGGTCAACGACAGTATTTATATATGTTGCCGCTCGGACTCTGTTTTTGTGGTTTGTTTGTTGTGATAGAAGGTGGCGATGTGTGAATGATGAAGGGTAGTTAATGTCTACCGCCTGGCAAATGCCTTTATATACCTGCCCTGACCATAGCCCCCTTTTTCACCGCGTGTTCCCTGGCATGAGGGGGTTGCAAGCTGTGAGTTATTTTTTAATTAGGGATTGTCGGTCTGTTCAGAAGCATTTTCTCTTGCCCTAAACCCCACCCCACCCAGGATTGCGCTCGGAGCTGGCCAGCATGCGCCCTATTTTTCTGCACAGGCTATCGCAAGGTTGGTTGTTGCTGGGCAAAAATGCGCTTTCAGCCTCCCACACATTTGCCAATCACCCGCAGCGATAGCCACCGTGCAACTTAGCAGCGCACTTTGTTCTTCTCTAGAGCATGCGGCGTTGGATATCCGGAAACCGAGGGTTCGGCTAGCGGCTGTGCTGTGTGGTGTAGTATGACGGGCAGATCACTGTTAAGAATTCGCATTCGCCACGAAAGCCGTTCTTTGTAAAGACATGCATGCAGCCATGATCCCCCAGCACGCACCATGGTGGTTGCCAGCCTGGGCATTCACTGTGGCGGACAAAGGGGAGCCTGGCTGGGTCAGTTGGTGCAATGCGCAGGCATTCCGGTCACTTTCCCTGCTCTCTCCCCATTGTCATGCAGCATATCTCTTTGGCCAACGGTGGTTGCGAAAGGAGAGTTGGAACCACACATGTAGCTGATCCTTGTGTGGTTGGGATATTCCCAGTTGTAGATCTCCACGCATGTCCCCCAGGCTGTCCTGGAAACCAAAAAATCGCACCTCGAGAAACGCCAATTGCCCTTCCCATGTTGCAACCCATCCGCGCTTGAGCACCATCGTGCGAAGAGGACTGCAAGCTGATTTGCAGCCATGCCTCGAGCTGCATGAATGCCCATTGCCAAGCCGGTAGTATTGAAAGAAAGCTGAGAATCGGGGTAGGACGCAAGGATGAGGAGTGGTGCGTCCCTCTTGTCAATCGCACAGACTCAAGGTGCTCATGAACTGTAGTGCATAGACTAGTCTTTAGCAGGAGCTGCTTTGGGAATGAGCGAGAGGGCACTCGCTGATTTAGAGCCTGGCCCCCGCGACGCAGTACGGCACCTTTCCCGACCTGCCGCTGGCTCCACATACCAGAATGCTGTGTTTGCCGCTCTCTTCTGAGAAGGGCATCGGTGGCATGGCCGGAGCCATTGCCAGCAGCTGTCAGATGAGCATTTGCATGTCCTGCAAAGGCGCACGGCCATAAAGAAGATCGCGAACAGCCTCTTTCCTTTTGCCGCAAAAGTAAAATTGCAGATTTGCAGCCCTTTATCGATGCACATCCGCACTGTAAGCTCTGACGTCCAGACACGGATATATATATTTTTCTTCCACATGGCTCTATGAGGCGACAACCAGGTACATGTCCAGCTTGGACCGTGCCAGAGGCCGCTGCAGTATCTCCCCAATGTGGTCAAAATTCACATGTGGTGCAAAGCTCTTGAGAGGCATGAGCTGGTACCCCGTGCTACCGCTGGGCTGTACCCGCTCGATGTCTGCGGATGCCGGCATCACCAGAAGCGTCCTATTTTCCAGATGGATTCAAGCGGAAAAGGCAGAGAAGAGACAACGTCCTGTGTTGTTAGCGCACGCAGTAGTCATGGGCCATTTCAACTATTGGGTCCAGTAATTCGCACCAGTGACAATGCACAGGTTTCAACCTACCTTTCAAACACCCCCTGGCGATGTTTGCTTGAATGCATGGGGTCCTTCTGCAGCAGATAGTGTGGCTGTCGGGTGATCTACCTGTACCGAGCTACGCAGCATATCTTGGACCTGCTTGTCGGTAACCGATACAAGATCGATCAGCTCGATGCGGGCCTGCCTCTGGTCCTTTTGCTCTGGCTGTACGAGCAAGTGCCTAGGGGCCATGTATGTCGCAAAGATGAGTACCCTGGTAGTCATCCGCTGGTCGCCTGCAGTCGCTGGTGAAGCCGCGCACAATGCACCATGGCTATCCCTGGTTGCCATTGTACACACTGCTGATCGGGCCACCGATGTCCGTGACAAGTAATCGAGCATCGGTACGACGCCTGACTGGTGCACCACGCCATAGCCAATGCTCAGCAACACATTGAATACCTAGCCATAGGATCCAGAAGTAATCAGGCGCCAGCCGATGCCAGCGCCAAGTGCAAAGCACCATTCCAGTGAATGCTGGCAGCAGGAACCGTGGTTCTTGGTGCGGCACCATCGACATGGCTCCGACTCCAACTACAACTGATAATGCAGCTGCAGCCGAGGTGTAGCTCGTCTCTGCTCTGGCTTGCTGATGACTTTGCAAATGCCCACAGCTTGGCTATGGCCAGGATGTACAGCGGCCCAAACAACGTTGGCATCGACGTTGTTGCGTGCAAGTACCACGGTGGATTCCATGTTCGGCCAGGTTGTCTTTCTTCGTGTTGTATGATAGTTGTTCAGCAGTGTGCATGTCAGTGATCCCGATACACCGGTAGCCCCCACCTTTAGCAATCCAAAGTACACAGAGTCCGTTAGAGTAATTGCCAAGAGCGATCCAATTCCGCCAACCGCAACTCCCGAAAAAGCACCGAGCGCACACCGCAAACCGACTGTGTCAGTCCATACTGCATTTACCAGTATCGCAGCGCATACCAGGCAGAGTGGCAGCGCGAATGCCGCAAAGGCAATGTGTCCAAAGGTGCCCAGTGCCACGCAAACCCCCGAAGAGGATGCACAGCCTTATCAACTGCCCGTGTGTGGCCAGCTCAGCTTGGGCGAACTTGTTGTGGCACGCATGCCTGCTCAATCCGCGCCAGCAGATTGAAGCACAACGCCAGGACAATCGACGCAAAACGAGTTGGAAAACGTATGCGTGTGGAAGACTGCAAGGCAGTACGAGCTCGCAAACCAGAAATCATCGTCGGGGTCATTCGCGCTGTGGGATTCAGCCGCTTCAGGGTGTCATAGATGCTGGCATCGACCAGAAACGACAGGAGGGCCATAAATACCCCGCGGCGCGCAGAACAGCAGCTGCGATGTCAGCTCGAGCCGGTACCCAAACAGAGCAAGCAGTATCCGCTGTGCGATCTTGACCAGCAGCATTGGAAATCCCTGCGTATATGTAGATTGGCACGCTGGACCGGATCGGCGCCTGTGGGTCAAACTCCCATGTTCGCACTGCCTCTAGCCAAATATGTCGTTGGCCCGCAACCTCTGGCGCCTGAAAACAGCTCATCTGGGTGGATATACGCCGGGAGTACCGAGAATGCGACGCGTGCAGCTAGAAGCGCCAGATAGAACGACCTTGCTCGCCACATAAGCTAGAATGTATTAGATGGTAGGTGGTAGAATGAACGCAAAAAAAAAATCCACTGGTGCTGCAGGGAGAAACGCATGTTATGATTTACTGCACGCTTGTTTGTGCGAAGGCTCGAGTTGCATGGTTTTGGGCGGTGCTGGAACAACTGCCAAATGCACAGTAACCAGCACAACAACTCTGGATATTATCGCTGGTAGCAGATATATGCCTTCTTCACCACTAGTCAATCAGAAACGAGATATGTATTGCTAGAGAAAATAGAGGAAAAGGCTAGCCGGAAGATGACTGGCGGCGAAACATCCCTGCTGTGCAGCTTGCAAGAGACAGCAATTGCTTGCTCAGCACGCTGTCTCAGAAATGCTTGCCACGCCTTGTTCATGCAGACATGTCCAAGGACCGCCTCTGACTCGGCAAAGGCGACATGGAGGTCGTTGCTAGGAGGGTGCACAGGTATAATGCATATCACACCCAGCTGGAATTCGGGGCTCAAGGTTACAAACTCGGGCATCCAGTGGCCGAAATCAGGCGTATAGAGTGGAACACGACTTTGGTTGGAGATCGTGACAGTGTTCTTAAACATATTGTCCACTATCAGCGGGTGTGTGAAGCGAGTAGGATCAGCTTCAAGCGTGTCGTATAGCTGCGCGATAAGCGGTGCAGTTGCAGCACCAAGTGCAGCGCGCGATTTTATAGCCATTTCAGCAATTGATTTGGGAGTGATCGGCGATTCTGCTTGCTCAATGGAGTTGTATGTCAAAATCTGATATAGCACATTCCCCATGTATGTGATGGGTATTCCCAAACGCTGGCGAACATCGCAAGGGAACCCTACCTTTTGTATGCAAGAACGTTGCT